CTGACCACTGGACAAAGACCCCATGACCTTGCCTACCACCACGGCCCTGCTCAAACTGTGGACACTGTTGGGTTGACTGCTCTATCCTTGCCAAGGTGGGTCAGTTTTCTTAAGTACCTCCTGCACAGGAAAATCTCTGAGACCTCCTGGGTCTGGCAGCCAAAAGCTAATGCTGCCTTGTGCAGCTGCCAACACGATAACGCTGTCCTGTGTGACAGCCAGAAGGCCTATGACCTTTGTCTCCCCCCCTGCCCCAGGAAGCCATTGAGACCGTGAGAGCCTAGGGTAAGGGTCCTGTCCAGGTAGCCATAGGTCTCTGTCATTTTAACTGATACGGAAGCTGTGTGGATTATATTATACTTCCTGCTGGAATTCACCCTTCTCAGATCTCTGAGGGTGTTGGCAGTTAACTGTAGCTTTGACAGTTTAACGGTCACACTCCACCCTCTAAGGCTGCAGTTACCCACTCAGTTCATTCCAAATGTAAAATCAGGCCTCCCTTTTCCAGAGCCATTTATTAGGTCTGCTAAGAAAGGCAGGCAGGTACAGTTCACCTTGCTGACAGACTTCACGGTGAAAGAGAGACTCACAAACTAGGTTTCAATGTAACTTTTTGCTATTTCCTTTATTTAAGGACCTTGGTTCACAATGACGACTCTCGGGAATCAGCCACCCGTGTCTCATGGTAAGTGACTGGATGAAAAGAAAAGGTTTGAAGTGTGTGTAACTTGTGAGGTCCTAAGAAGGAAAGGCAAGTTGTAAAGGTCAAAGGAAGTGATTCAAGTTGTGTAAAAACTGAGAACTGTTTAAGGTTTCTCTCCCTCTCTATGCTGTCGCTATACTAAGACTTAAAATTTCCAATAGATTAATCTAGCCCAGGTGAAGCACTGCTACTGTTATCCTAGTCACAAGCTCACACATTGCAATTCCCTTTGGTTGTCTTCTAAGTATAGACTTAAAAGTGCTTTTCAATTGTGCTAAAAACACCACTGTTCAATCTGTGTATTCAACTCTCTGGGTACATAGGAAAAGTGTTTATGCTTTTAACTCAGAATAGTATTTTTAGATTCCCAATTTTTTTTACAACTCAAAGGCATAATTCTACTGCTTTTTCTACAATGAAGATTTCAGTATGGATTACAGTGGTAATGCTAATTAATATACATACACTTTTATCTCTTTTTATGAACTAAAAAAAATTCTTGTAAGCTTCAGGGAGTTGTGAGACTTGGATTCATCTCTATCAGATCAAGCCGTTTCCAGTCAACAGCCTAAGTTTCCCCACTTGGCCTATTCTCAGGGGAGAAGGTAGGGTTGGAATTTCTCTCTTTCCCCTGGTCTTATGATTCCTTCCGTCCCTCATCAATATCAGGAATCATGGGCCTGGAAGTTTCAAATGTACACCCAAAAAACAAAAACAAAAACAAAAAAACCTTCCCCACAAGCTCCTTAACTCTACCTTCTGTCCCTAGTCTATATCTGTCCTAGTGGATTTCCCATCAACTACAGACCGCAGACTGCTCCAGAACCCACATGCCAGATTCCCCAGGGCAGCCTAAGCGTCAACAGCCCCAGGTGAACCTGCACATCCCTGTGCCCCTCTCTCCCTTCCTGACTTTGACCAACATCCCAGCCTTCCTGGGCCCCTGACAAAGATGTCACAATTTCATCTCAGAAGCAGTTACATCAACTAAAAGCTGGATGGAATGACTGATCCCAAGGAAACCCTGGACAAGTCTCATTCAGTACCTGTGGTTCCTCCCAGTACTTCTCACCCTGACCTCTACCCCAAAACATCTCCAGACCAGGGGCTGGGCTTCCCTTCCCCAGCTTCTGTTTTAGATAACTCAGCCATTTTCACTACATGCCCTCTTTGGTTCTCCTGGCCTCTTGGTTCCTGGCTGACTCTCTCTGGGCTCTTGATCGGCTTGCCTCCTCTTCCTCTCTCCCCACACGGCCCAGTCTAGGCTGCTGTCCATGTCCAGTGTGGACTCTCAGCTGCCTCTGGCTGTCCTCATCCTCATACCTGCAATAAAATCTTCTCCTCTCCTCAACCACACCTATCAGGGGTCACGCCCTCATTTTCATTCAGGAGGCAAGCGTTTCTGCCCACTGAGCCTTTTCCCTAGCCCCTTTTGTTTTAATTTTCCCCCAAAACTTTTACTTCCTTGGTGACTTTCTTATCCAAGATTTGAACTGATGTCTAGATTCATCTGTCTAGATGCACACTCTGTGTGGTGACTGATCATTAATAAAGCAGGCTTTGGAATTCTTTGCCTGTCATTTCAGTGATCTCTGGGTTTGGTTGTTGAAAATGATAAGCATCTGGGGGAGGTATACTTTCTTGCTTGTTTATATCACTTTATTTCTATAGTTAGTGTGTCTGCTGGGATGAGGATTCCTCCAGCCTTAGGACAACTTCTGCTTAGTGGGTCACTCATTGTCTTCTGAGTTCTCGTTTCTCATGACTTCTCAAAGGACAGAAAGGAGACTGCTGCAAGAGGCACTTGTTAACAAGCCAGGTTTAGACTGTAGGGAAGAAAAGCCCCAAAGAGTTAAAACCGTGTATATCCCCAGTATGGATAGAAAGGAAACTAAGATCATTATAGAACAAACTGGGATTCTGTTTTTAACAATGAAGAAAAATGAAAGTACTGAGTTAGCACTTTACAAAAGGAGGTGTTGGGAAAAGTAAATAAACTAGAAAGGAAGGGAAAGGTATGGGTTGAAGGTTCTAGAAGCCACAGTGAGAGGAAAGCAGTGTAAACAAAAATGACCCGGGGGAGTGGGGAGGAGTGAGAGAGAAGACAACAGGAGGGACAGAAGAGAGAGAGAGAGAGAGAGAGAGAGAGAAAGAGAGAGAGAGAGAGAGAGAGAGGGGGGGGAGGGAGGGAGGGAGGGAGAGAGAGAGAGGGAAAGCAGAGAGAGAGAAAGCAGAGAGAGAGAGTCAGATGTCGACCTGGGTCCAGACATCCTTCTCTGACTTCAGGCCTCTGTAATTGTCACCGTCTATATATAGGGCCACGGATTTTTTTGAGTTAATCTTGTATCCTGCCACTTTGCTGAAGGTGTTTGTCAGCTGTAGGAGTTCCCTGGAAGAGTTCTTCAGATCACGTTTACTCAGGTCTGATGTCCCAGTCCTGTAACCCTGAGATTTTTCACTGAGGTAGACGGTCCTTGAATTATGGCTGGATTTATTTCTCATCCTCTGATGCACTTGTTGATTATCAATGAGTCAAAAGTGGTTGCACGTCCTGCTCACTTGCTAAAATCAACGTAATGTCATCAGTATAGGCTTGCTTTTCTGCTCCTTGAGTTCTGCACCTTCTAGAGAGAAGAGTGTCCTCCTGGCACACTGAGAAACCGTTAATCTGTTTAAGTGCATCTGTAACTGGTCATTTTTACCACTAAGTTCATTGTTGTCTTTCACTGTGGTCTGAGATGCTGGAAGTTGGTTAATTTTATCACGGCGCTCATTCCTATGCTTGGACAATTTATCCAGAGATGCTAAGAGCAACCAACCAGCATCATCATTTTCCTACAAACTGTCAAAAGTTTTAGATGTGGAGTTAATTACTGAGTCCATTGCTACCCTTAACTGGTGAGTAAAAATAATCAAATGCATTTATTTCCTTAAATGTGTAAAATAGTTTACATTTTCGGGCTTTTAGTACACTCGCAGCTCGAAGGAGAGGATTCAGGAACCAGAGAGGCTTAGGTACTGGTAGATGTTGGAAAGTGGAAACCTTATTCAAGATACATAGAAAAATTAATTTTCATACTTCAGTTACTTTAAAACAACTTTGGTACCAAAATATGTATTAGTCAGTGTTCTCTAGAATAGCAAAATTATCCAGTGAATGTCTTCTCTTCATCTGTCTCTCTCTCTCTCTCTGTCTGTCTCTCTCCATATATATGTGTGTGTGTGTGTACATGTATATATGTGCATACAGAGATAATCTAATAAATCCAATATATATAAAGTATGTGTGTTTTATTAGATTAATTTACAGGCTATGGTTCCTCTAATGCAACAATGACTGACTACAAACTAAAAGTCCAAGAATCTAGAAGTTTCTCAGTCCATGTGGCTGAATGTCCCAGCTAAGCTTCAATAGGCCCTGGGATCATGAAAAAATAGGCTTAATGCTAGTGAAGAAGTGGACTTTCTAGCGAGGTGAGCTCAGGCATGCAAAGAGCAAAAGCTTCCTTCTTCCATGTTCTCACACAGGCCTCCAACAAAGCATGCAGCCCAGGTTAAACATATGTCGTCTTGTCTCAAGATCCAGATTAGAGGAGTATGACTTCCTATCCCAAAGGTCTGGACTAGAAGTGGATCCACCCATTTCAAACTAAGCAAATAGTATCCCACAGGAGTGCCATCCTATAATCAGACTTTTCTTTGGGGCATTAGCTCACCAATAATGACACAGATGGGTACCTATTTTTAATAAAGCTTGGCCTCAATTTAGGCTTTTCCCAACTATCTCTTATACTCCTGTTTCTGTCCATCTACATTCTGCCACATGGCTCGGTTACCCCTCCTTTGTGCCCTCTATATGATTTTGTTAGTGTCCCGCTGGTGTCTCTTGAGCACCTAAATTCATCCTCCCGAGTTCCTCTCTCTGCCTGGAAGTCCAGCCTGTTCTCTCCTCCCTAACTATTGACCAGTGAGCTCTTTATTAAACCAACAAGATGCTGGCAGTTGTGGAGAATTGTACCATAAATAAATATCTATGGTACCATTACCTTGTGCACATATATAATTAAGTAGGACATAAGAGTTAATTCCCCATGTGGAAGGTAATAGAGGATTTCCAATCAGTTTTGGAAGATGGAAGTGCTACAGGTTTTGCTTTTTGCCCCAGGAGAGATTCCTGGATAGGGAAACCTGACTTCTGCTGAGTTAAGGGGAAAGCTGATTAGCAGGGAGGCCATGTTCATTCCACATGACATCTGCAGTCCTTCCCCTGAACATTGCATTGTATCCTAGAGACCATGGAACCCCGTGACGTCATCTGTGTTGTAGCAACATCAACTGCCTTTGGAGAATCTTTCAGTGCCCTGTTTCAACGATGAACACATTGGCAAGACTGGGGAATCTCCTTAGGAGAGAAAATGGAGAGGGAAGAAAGACCAGAGAGAGGCAGAAGAAAGCTGACCTTCAGCCTCAGTTTAAACCATCAAAAAAAAAAGTGTTCAAAAGGAACAACAGTAAGTCCTGGGCAGGAGATGGGGAGCTCCCTGGAGAAGATGGCCGTTAGCGGGGACTTTGAATAATGGGGCATAAGCATTGGGGTTTCTGGGAAGAAATTGGACTTCTCTGCCTGACAGTGCTCCTGGAAATCAAGTATTTCAGGGTAGTAATTTGTCTCTCCCAGAAGGCAGGAACTGGCAAGCCAAAAGCTGTTCTGCTTACAGGACGGTGAGGGTTGATGGAGGGCCAGCATCAAAATGAGACCAGCGTGAGGGGGGGCAGTGAAGTGTGCCGAGCTCCAGGCATGGACACTGTACTTCAACGCCAGCGGATAACTTTAAGTACTGTGCCCCTTCTCTGTGTGCCCTGGCTTGTCAGTAACATGACTTCATGAATCTGGTGACCATGTTCTGCACTGGTATGGCTTCTCCACCTGTAGCCATGTGCTTGGAGTGACGTGTCAGGGTGTTTGGGGTACCTCCTAGCTTCTAAACCCGCAGACTTGTGCATTCTACAGGCAAGTTGAATGGAGACTCTGCAGCTGTGAATAAGCCTGAGGAAGTTTTTTTCTTTCTTTAAGGGAAGTATGTGCTGAGGGGGCAGGAGAAAGCAGCTGACTGAGACATGCAACTACCTTCAGAGACGGGAGAGCTGAGATCCCCTGGAGGGGCTTCTCAAGCCTGAGTCAAAATCCATCGGTGTGTCACTGAGTCAAAGGCATAGACACTTCCCAAAGATGTTTTAGGGCTCAGAGTGATCTGTATATCTTCTATTGCTTATTACAGTGCTTGTTGACTTGTGTTCATCTTCCCACAGGGGCTGCTGGAGAGCCATCACTCCCCTGCAACCCTTCTCATCAAAAAAGAGTTGAAGAAGATGGAGAGTCTGAACATCCAGCTGGAGTAAGTGGCCAGAGAAACAAAGGAGCTGCGAGATTGCCTCATCTCTGTCACTGAAGGATCCCTTGACAATAAGTATTCATTGTTTCCAATGCCATGGTGACCATCTTGGTTCCACAATTTTACCCTTAGTTTATTTGATCTAAGATCTGAGCTTCTGAGTGTCTACACCTTCAGGGTGTCCCTTCGCCCAACACTGTTATCTCTAAGTGCTTTCCAGAAGCCGAACCTGAAACCTGGCCAGAGTGAGATGGGGAGAGACTATTATTCTCTTCCCTCCAAATGAAAACCAGAGCCTGTAGCCTGAGTCACATAACTCAGGGATTGACACAGAGGTGTGACTTCCCAGGATGCATTTGGACAGATCCTGTCAAGTGGCAGCTTCTGTGAGACATAGGCTGCTGTGAGTTTATGGTGATTGTTTGCCTGGCAAGACACTGTGTGCTGGGTTCTTAAGTAGCAATTAGAGAGGCCTGGTCACACATTTCAGTGTGCAGATACAAGGCCTGGAACTGATCCCTGCACATTGTGGTCCTGAGATGGCACACCTGCATGCATTATTTAATATCCCTCGGTTCCAGCCTCTCTCTCTCTCTCTCTCTCTCTCTCTCTCTCTCTCTCTCTCTCTCTCTCTCTCTCTCTCTCTCTCTCTCTCTCTCTCCCTCTCTCTCTCTTCTCTCCCCCTCTCTCCCCTTCTGTTTCACAAACAAATATACACATACAGAAACGCAAAAGCGTGTTGTGTGTTTGTCTGTGTGTTTGTACATTTGTGCATGTGTTCCCCCCCCCGATTTTGCCACAGACCACCCCAGCCGGGTATGGGGGTCCCTGAGATGAGGGTTCTCGAAGACCAGGTGGGTAAGGATTCGTCAGTGACAAACAGAAACAAACACAGAGGCAGTTTGAATCCTAGTGGTTTTTTTTCAAGCTTTTTAGCAAAGCTTTTTATGCAGGATAAAGCATATCTTCTCAGAGTTAGTATTCAGTGAAGCAGACAAATGACATTACTGTTACTAGGCATAGTAACACACAACTTATCTGAGGATAATAAAAATAACAAATCAAGAAGTTATTCAAGGCTAACTGCAGCTAATCACCCATTTCTAAGATCAGGTAAATAAATTTTTATGGTTAGTTATTGTTTGGTGTCTGTTACCTAGTTCACAATTGTTTGATTCTGTTGCCTAGTTCTTGTGTGTCTTTAAAATATTGAGCTATTTTGACTTTTTCTTATCAAAAAGATTTCTTATTAAAAGTCTTACTTTAACAAACATTAAAACCACTCTCGATTACACATGTACAGGCATATGAAATTCTATTGTTGGGAAAGCTTTTATCAATACTATTACTATTTACTTATGTGAGTGATATTAATGATTCGAAAAGCACTGGTTTTCCTGGAGACGAGGTCATGGTCAGTGACCATATCTCAGAGGATGGTTTCTCATTTTATCTTTTGTTTAAATGTCAGCATAGGCTTTCAGGAACATTTCCAGAGATTGCCATGAGAATGGCTCAATATTTTTCTCCGGCCGAGAACTCCACAACCTTTTCCAGGAGACCTCCTTCTTTTGAAGTTATTGCCTCACTGATAAGGAAACGGTACATCAGGAAAAAAGGGTCTAGGATACTTTATTGAACATAGAGATCACTTACAGGGGAAGCTGGGAAGCGCTCTGCTCTCCAAAGCACAGCACGGTCAGGATCCAAGAGAGCCAGACTGCCCACCTGTTCCTTCTTTATCCCCTGAATCTTCCCACATACCCCCATCATCTCCTCTTTTCTGTCTAAATAAAAAGGTTTTAACTTTAACATAGTCAAATTATATATAACAGAACAGTTATCAAGTAAGAACTATAGTTACAATATTTTGTCCATAACATTTAGTAAGATTTAAAGAAAGTATTTTATCATCTATCCTATCTGTGTGAGTCTAAAGTCTTATATGTAGCTTACCTTTTATCATAACTAAGGAAAACTATAACTATAACTGTCTTCAACTCCATCAAAGACCACAGAAGGATAATATATATATATATATATATATATATATATATATATATATATATATATACACTAGAATTGACAGAGACATCTCACTACCTGGACAGTCACCCAAAGTTCCTCTGTAAAGTTGGGGCATCCATCTTTAACCCATAGGCCACAGTGTGTCTGGCAGAATTCTCAGCAAGGCAGGAAATTTTACACTATCTGCCTACATTGGCAGTTTGACGGTCATTTTTCTGTGTCCTCCAGAATGTCTGGCAGACTCTTCCATGAAGCAGGAATCCTGTTGGACTGTTCAAGTTCAGCAGTCACTTTACTGTGGGTCCTACATGTCCAGTTTATACAGCAACAGTCAAACAGTCCAGGCAAGAGCAATTTCTTGCCCAAATGGCTAACTTTACGTGTTGAAAGCAAACTCCATAACGAGTTTCTTTGATGTCCATCTTCTTCTCAGAAGTAATTGGTGTGCCAGGAGCAGACATTTCTCATTGTCAAGAAAAACCCTAAACCATTTTAAATGGCATTTTCTGAAGGTCTTTGAAAGGGTTGAAGACTATCTGTCTCAAATATTATCTCTGTATATCTAGAAAACCTAACTAACCTAACTATAAATTATGACTGTTATAGGTAGCTATCTATAATCTGTACTTATACATCACATTTTTAAAAGATCAGTATAAACACAATACTTAAACAAGAGGATAAATATACATATCACAAAATTGACCTTAAATTTGTATCAATAAATGAGAATGCATTCCAATACAAAGTATTCATTACTATACCATAATCTCCCTTTTACCTTTAAAAAGAGATTGATTGTGATCATTGCCCTTTATAAACAACCCCATTTAAATGAAAACAGAAATTTTATAAGCAGTATTTGGGAATTTGGGCATTGTTCATTCCAAACTGCTTCCTGCTGATAGGGGGTGCTGTCCATACCATGGGGATCATGACAAAACTCAGAAACCTGGCCAAGTCCTTGTTGTTGGTAGTCTGCAAGGCTACATCAACTCAGCTGTTTTAGACGTTGGATCACCTGGGCCACAGATTCTGGAGGTCTTGGTTCAACAAACTGTAGAGGTCTGGAAGGAATCCATAGCTTTTCATTTTCTGGGGAAACACAAAAAAAATCTCTTTTCCAAAGGGACATATCTTAAATTTTGAAGTCAAAGCTTTTTAAAAATATGTAAGTTGGATTAATTTAGCAGCATTTATAATCAAGTATATTTCAGCAGTTGTTCCTTCCTTAGCAATTGAACAACTGAAAAACACAATAGCATACAGTATTCTGTGTATTTTTCATCTTTATGTGGCATAATTATATTACTCTATATCTTTTACTTTTTCTCTGAGACAGGGTTTCTCTGTGGAAATCCTCCTGCCTCTGCCTCTGGAGTGCTGGGATTAAAGGCATGTGCCACCAAACCCAGCTACTCTCTTCGTTTATGTTTCTTTTTCTCTACCAAGCCTACGTATATTTTTAAACACACTATAAACCCTTTAGAGGTTTTACTTTATCTGAATCGACTTTACTATAAATCTTTTATGTTTTTCTGGCCATGTGTCTGTTATCTGCTAAACAACATTGCTAAAATCAAAGCAGCAGTGGCTGTTTTAGCCACTGACTTTCCAACACGGCGGATGTAAATTTACCTCCAGCACTGGGAGCTGTACTCACCGCCTTAGTCTATGCCAACATCAAGCAAATGCTGCCGGCTTGGAGATGTGGTCACTGCCACTGCCAGCTGCTCGTACACACCATTCTTGTTTGGTTATGGGTCTTAAAAGAGCCCTGTGGTGTCTTGCCACTTTTGCTTAGTCAAAAAGACTCCCTTAAGAGAGCTGAGTGAGTCTCTGCTTGTCTCTAGCAAAATAGAGCCCACATGAGAAAAAATGCTGCTACCAAGAAGCTGTGTTTGTCTCTGTTCCTTTGACTGTAAAATCCCTTCTTAAGCTTTGGTCAAGCTTTAAGTGGAAGCTCTTAGTACCCACATTGCCGGCGCCATATTGTTGCAGGATCCCGCCTGGGTGCTGTCACCGTTTTAGCCCCCAAATAACATAAGAGACACTATTATAATTATGAAGCTGTTGGACTTTTTCTTGGTTTCTTATTGGCTAGCTCTGACTTAATTATTAACCCATAACTGCTAATCTGAGTGTTTCCATGTGGTCTTCTCTTACCGGAGAAAGGATCTGGACCTCTTACTCCTCTGGCGTCCTACATTGTGACTGACTGTGCCTCTGTTTCTCAGAATCCTACTCTGTAAAGGGAAACCTTTTCCTTGAGAGAAGCCTTCCCGCCAGCCTGGTTCCAGAGCCACATCAGTCCCAAATAACACACAGGAGGCTATATTAATTATGAAGCTGTTGGCCTTGCTTGTTTCTTCCTGGCTAGCTCTGACTTAAGTAATTACCGCATAATTGTTAATCTAAGTATTCCTCTTACCGGAGAACTTTCCAGGCTTCCTACCCCATGTCGTTACAAATTGACTCTCTGTGTTTCTCCTACCTAGAGTCCTCCTGGATTCCTAGTCCCACCTATCTTGGTTCCCTATTGGCCAACAGTGCTTTATTCATTAATCAAAGAGACATATCCACAGGACTTCTCCCATCAGTATGATAACAGAATCAGCCTTTTCGGAGCTAAGAGCAATATCCCATTGGAAGCCTGAAAACATGTCTATGGTATGATGTATGTATTTCAAACTTCCAAATTCCATTTGCTAAATTTCATTCCTGTGAATACTCTTGCAGTTACTGCCTGCTTGTAATCGAATTTGATTATACAATGGGACAGTTGCTTATTATTTCCTTGGCTTGTTAGACCAAGTGATAGAAAAATCCTTCTTTAAGCCTTTGCTGTTAACATGGTATTTCTTATGAAATTCTGAAGCTTCCAACACACTTCCTATTAATAAACGATCAGTCTCAGCATTGCCTTGTGCTAGAGGACCTGGCAGACCTGTATGGGATCTGATGTGTGATATATA